GTCGGCAGTGAAGGTCAGGAGCCTTAAACAATGTTATGCTTTTAAATTAATTACTTCCCCATGAAGCCTGTAAGGGAATAGTTGAGTAAAGCTTTTGTTTGTAGGGAGGAGGTGAGGCACAAGTTCGAGCAGACATGGAAAAGCAGAGTAGTTGGTGTCTCTGAGTACTCGTTTTGGGTTTCAGGGTGTATATATGTGTGTTGCCAAGTCTGTTCGGGTCTAGTGTCAGGCCAGTGCCCATACAGGTGATTTGAGGTGCCTGAAGTGGCATCTGCAAGTGTGTCTGACCCAGCTAAAACCTGGGCTGCCAGGCGCTCTCGGGCTGAATGAGACATTTTTCCTCAAAAAAGGCTTATGGCTACCTTCCTTTTACCCCAAAAGGGTGTCCTACCATCTCATGCTGTTTTATGGGTGACCTTGCAAGCAGAGAAGCCTAGGAAGAGCTCTGGGGTTTGGCAGGACCCTCTGCGCCTTTCCTTTAGCTTATTGCAACCAAACACTTTGATCCCTTAAGAGTGAAGATGCGTGCCCGATGCCACGGGGTGCCTATGAGTGAGGTCTGGAGCATCCCAGCCAGCTCCTGCAGCTTTCTGCCTCGCCTTCCCGCGGCAGCTGTCTGTATCTTGGGCTCTCGTGCTGTGAGCTAGGTACGAACGAAAGCCCCGCTTACGTTCCTCTTCCAGTCCTGTCATTCTTCAAGTATCTCTTGTTCTGGTGCTGGCCCTGTGAAATGTCTCGGCTGTCTGCCCTGGGTGCTGCCTCCCTCTGCTCCTGGCAAAGGGGCAGGGCAGAGTATGTTGTCCCCCAGCTTCATCCCTTGGGCTTTGCCTTAGAAGAGATTTCTTTGACACGCTTGTACAGGGCACCAGGCAGCTGCAAGGTGCACCGTGGCTTGCTTATTGTTGGTGTTTGGTGAGCAAAATGCAGGTTTGCCTCTGGCTCAGTTTCCCAGAGCTAACCCTCAGTCCCCTTTCGAGTGTTTTGCTATCTTGGTCCTCTGAAGGTACGTAACAGGCCAGGATTTGTACCCTTGCTTGGTTACTGGAGCAGAAGAGGCGCTTCTGCTGATGGCCACGCTGAACTGCAGCAGGAACCACCCCTCTCTGAGGCATGCTTGATGAAGGACTCGTATTAAGGGGGTCTTTTTCCCCAGCAAGCAGAAGCAGAGCCTGCCTCTTCCCAATAGACGTTCCCTGCTGCTGCTACTATGAGGAGACTGAGTCAATTAAAAGCTATTTCTGCAGCAGGCAGCTATTTTAGGGAATCAAAGAGCATGTTATGGGGTGGAATGATCTTGCTGGGCTGGCAGATCAGGCAGCCGAGAAGGAACAGCTGCTCTGTCTGCTGCGGCTGCTCTCTGTTCCCTGCCCCATGCTGTCACTTCACATATGCAGGCACACTTAACCCCTTGCTCCTTCTCTTTCAGCTTGCCACAGTGGAGCCCGGGATGAAGTTCCACATGTACACAAAAGAGGAGCTTGAAGAGGTCATCAAGGATATTTGAAAAGGAGGGAGACTCCCTCAAAGGCTCATTCACCCCCCGATCAAAGCGAACTGACTCTAGGTTCCTTCCAGTACCTGTGATTTTATGTTCCAGCAGCATCTGTAATTGCTCTTCTTAGAAGGCTCTTGAGGTTTTTTTACAGTTTCTGTACATAACTGATCTCTACAGTAAGAGGAAATGAGAATAAATCATTTTGTTATTCTATCCAGGGTTCCTCATTGCGGAGGTCTGAGGCGGGGGGGGGGGGGACACCATTTAGAGCTAAAATCAGGGGCAGATGAGGGCAAGATCTGCTGCAGTCGGCGCAGGGCGAAGCGGTGCCTGCCGGGTTTGCGGCGCTGCAGTCCTGGCTGGCTGTGGCAGTAGCAAGTCTCCCTCTCGTGGAGAGCGTGGTGGTATCGCATCGGGAGATCTAGGTATAATTGCACCTGAGTCTTGGAAAACATTAGATTTTCAGTCCTGCTCATACCTGTTAGGTGTATTCCCCCTGTCTTTCTCCAGTGGTTTTTGTCTGTAAGGGATTACCTGGAGCTCTGACTGCTTCCCAGGGGAAAAAAATCCATAACCAGGCTTGGGGTTTGCATTTCCTTTTAGTGGGAGCCTGGAAATACCAGTAACAACTGTGATAGACCAGAGCCCACCGAGTGGGAGTAGATCTGGAGTTAATGGGACAGCCCCTGACCTGTTAAATTGTGCAGGGACCACTTAATTTTGAGAGTAGTCTCGTCTTGGCTGGCAAACTTCTGCTCATCCACTTTGCAGGGCTTACTGCTTTTGTTTCTCGTTCTCCAGCAGACACCTCTATCCTTGTCTTCAAAATAGCAGCTGAGAATTGACGATCGGTCCGAGATTAGCAAAGTATTTTCCTACAAAACGATGCCTCCATGGTCAGTGCAGCTTCAGGGGCTGGAAGGCCAGCTCTGCCCTGGCCCCTGGTAACTTGCTCTGTGCTGCCCTGGGAGCGTTGGCAGGCGGCGGAGGTTGCTCTGTCCTATTTTGAGAAGTTACAGTTTCACCCTGAACAAAACAACGTTGTCTGCTGTGGAAGACACAGACGTGGCCTGTGCTGCTGCTGGGAGTGGGGTTCGCCCCGGTAAGCGGGGACGTTTCCAGCATTACATCTGACTGAAGTGAGTAATTTTCCTCTCGGTTCAGCACTAGGGATTGTCTGCTGGTCTCCAGTGGGTGTTTCATCGCTTGGCAAAGACAAACAGGCGCAGCAAACCGCGGCTGATCTCGCACCTGCCAGCCTTTACCTTTTGCAGAAGGAAAAATGCCAATCCTATTAATTTTTTCCTTCCTCGCTGTTGCCAGACAGATGCAGGAAGGGAAGCCAGGTCTTCGTGGCTGGAAGATCAGTCCTTGGATAGCCTCAGCTTTCAGAATAGCCAAGTGCCCTCCTGTCAGGAGTTCCTGCTGTGAGTGTCCACTCTTTGCCTAACAATCTAAAGGAAACAAATTGGATCATTAGGCGATGCCCGAGGTTGTGGTATGCGTTGAATACAACAACGCCCCATACCTGCAGGTGGAAGAGCAAACATAACAAATAATTAGTTGATGGACTTTACCCTTGGGGGAGACCTTCCTTATAGCCTAAATGCAGGGAAACGAGCCTGACTTTGGCTCTGCCTGCGCAGCTTTGGAGCGCCGTATCCGTTCTCTGTGCCACTCCTCATCCCTGAGCTGATTTTGAGGCAGTGATGAGGATGGCTCTGGCATGGGAGCTCACCTGTCCTGAATATCCAGCAGGCCAGGATGATATCCAGGGCACCGCCCCGAGTGTCACCCTTGTAAAACCACCCCACAAGCGAAACCGGGGCTGCTATCAGCTGGTGTGTATGTAGGATATAAACACCCTTTATCCTTAATGTGCTTTAAAGTTATATATCACCTCAAAGCTCGGTCCTGTTCCCTTCTGCTTTGGGAAGGAGACCGACGGGCGTCCCAGCCGTTGTGAAGCACCCTGCCCCACAACAAACCCTGCCGTTCCGGGAGGCAGGGATCTTTTTAGGTTTGTTTGTGTCCTAGGAAACACAAAAAGCTAATTCTTCCCGATGTGGCACTCAGCAGAAAATGGTCCTTTATGCCCTGCCCTCATCACATGGGTTGCTGGTGGCAGCATCACATGAGAGCGGCTCCCCTGTAAGTGAAAATCGAGCCTTTGTGTTCCTTATCTGATCTGTCTTGGCAAGTGAAAAGCCTGAGCTCTTTCCAGACAGCCGCCAGGCTCCCTGCAAGGGGGTGAGGGTGAGGGAGCCCTGCGTGCTCACCACCCATCCGTGGGTTTCAGTCCTGCCCCTTTGCTCGCTTTCTGGGGTTAGCCCAGTGATGCCACCCTGGCAGTTTGTTGCAGAACTGGGTTTCCTTCTGCCTTTCACACATCAAAGCTGTAGATTGTTGTCTTGGGGAGGGGGAGGGAGGGAGGAGAAGGCAGAAGGATGACCCAGCAGTAAAATGAAAATTCCTCTTTTTCAAATTAAAAAGTTGAGGGCTGGGAGGGTGAGTACAGGCTCTTAAGCTTGAGTGTGTGTGAGTTAACCCCCCCTCTGCAAAGCTGAAGGCACCAGGGGCTGGGGCAGGGAGCTCCTGGTCCCCTTCACCATTTCCCTGCCCTGAACTGGGGGGACACACGCACCTTTCATGGGGGTGGGGAGCCCTCCCCTCTTCGGGGGGGGGGGGGGGGGGGGGCAGCGGCTGCCGGGGTGTTTGTTGCTTCATCTACCGCACTGACGCTCCCCGGGGAGGGCAGGGCTGCGCTCCAGCCCGCTTGTGCAACGTGGCCGACACGCGAGGGTGTCCCTGTCACCGCGCCCTGGCTCTGCCTGTACCGGCCCCGGGACACACACACACACACACACGCTGCTGCCCCCCCCCGTCAGTTGTGCACCCCCAAAACCATTCGCTGAGCCCCACAACCAGCCTCAACCTTCTCAGGCCTTGCGATTCTTTCCCTCCCCCGGGCCGAGACCCCCTTTCCCGGGAGGCTTCGTGTCCCGGCCGGGGGGTCCCCCCCCCCCACACGTGGGCGCCTGCACCTTGTGAATGGGCCGGGGTGGGCCCGGCGCGCCCCCGGCTCCCAGTCGCTTCGGCCAATCAGAAAATCATTCCGCCGCTCCCCTCCCTCGCCGCGCCGCCAATCAGAGGGCTGTCGCTAGGTAGATTAGAGACGGGGTTAAAACGGAGAGGGCGGGCTCGCACCCATCGTGCAAACGCCGCCAGCCAGTCAGGGCAGGAGAAGGGCGGTGATTGACGCGGTAGCGGGCTAACCAGATGGCGCGGGGCGGGGCGGCGCGCCTCGGCCCGGAGCGACGCCTCCTACAGCCAACCGCCGCGCGGGGGCGCGGCGAGGGGGCGTGTCTCGGGGCGGCGGCGCCCAATGGGGCGTGGGGGGCGGGGCGGCGGCGGTCCCGGGCGCGGGGCGGCGGCGGCGGCCGGAGTCGCCATGGGGCCGCGCGGGGCGGCGCGGCTGGCGGCGGCGATGGCGATGGCGGCGGCGGCGGCGGCGGCGCTGGGGCTGCGGGCCGGGGACCGCGACCGGGACCGGGACCCCGGCGGGGGCGAGCCGGCGGCGGCGGGAGGCGAGGCCTGCGGCGGCCTGCGCGGTGTCCCGACCGCCCTCGGCAACAACACGCACCAGGTGAGCCGGCGGGCGGGGCCGCGGGCGTGCGGACGGACGGACGGACGGACGGACAGCACACAGAGGCACCGGGGCGGGGCACCGGGGAGCCCTCCAGCCCCAGGAGCTACCGGGGACCCCTCACGGGGTCCGGGTCAGGCGGCCAGACCCCGCCTCCCCGCCCCGGCCGGAGCCTTGTGGGCTGGACGGACGGACAGACAGACAGACAGACAGACAGACAGACAGCTCCTCGTCCCCTGTGTGCTGACAGTGCCCTGACAGTGCCCGGCGCGGGCAGGTGATTTCTTGTGGGGGCAGGTTGGGTGGACGGACAGACAGACAGACAGACATTCCGCCCTACATCTCCTGGTATGGATGGACAGACAGACAGACATCCCCTTCCCTGAATCCCCTGGGACAGGCGGACAGGCAAACAGACAGATGGACAGACAGACACCCCCCGCCCCCCCCCCCCCCCCCCCCCCCCCGCCCCTACATCCCCAGGGACAGACAGACAGACTCTGCTCTCCCTGTGCCAGCTGGGGCAGGACGGGGTGGACTGACCGACATTCCCCTAAGAGACAGACAGACAGACAGACACTGTCCTGACAGCGGGGAGCAGACACGCCCCCCACCCCCCCGCCCCCAGGGACAGACTTGGGGACAGGGCGGAAGGACAGACGGACAGACAGACACCGCAGGGGGATCCCGACCTCGTCTCCCCGCAGGAGCGACAGCGGGTTGAACGTTAACCCGGGGCTGGCGCCGCGCCCCGGAGCCGTACTGGGATCTGGGGGGGGATCTGTGCCGGGATCCTTACTGGGATCTGGGGGGGGATCTGTGCCGGGATCCTTACTGGGATCCATACTGGGATCTGTGCAGGGATCTGTGCCGGGATCTGTGCCGGGATCTGTGCCGGGATCTGTGCAGGGATCCACAGCGGGATAAGTGCCAGAATCCGTGCTGGGATCAGTGCTAGGATCCAGACAGATCAGTGCTGGGATCTGTGCCGGGATCCCTGCTGGGATCAATACTAGGATCCATCCTGGGATCAGTACTGGAATCTGCGCCAGTATCCGTCCTGGGATCTGTGCTGGGATCCCTGCTGGGATCCGCTGGCTCTCGGCCGCAGGCTGCGCCCGCTCTGCCGGCCCGGCCGGTTGCTGTTGCCGCTCGGTGGCGGTGGCTTTGCCAGCCCAGTTTGGCCAGTTCTTTGACTGGTCCTGTGCCAATCCACATTTCTTTCCCCTTTTTCCCTTTTTTTTTTTTTTTTTTTTTTGCCCCCCCGGTAAGGAGATGCCTCTGGCCGCGAGGGACACGGGGACGGGGTGGCACCGCGGGGTCCCCTCCCTCCCGCCTTGCCCCCCACCTCGTGGGCGACGGGCACAGCCGTGGCCGGGGCTGCTGGCAGCTCTGTCCCCGAGATCCCCACGGGTGTCCCCAGCTGCCCCCCCAACCGCTGCCCACTCCAGCCCAGCTGCCCGGCACCCTGCCTGCTCCGGGTGGGATGTCCTGACACGGGGGGCACGGGGGCTGTGGGAGCCTTTTCCAGTGTCTGAGTGGGGTGGGGGGGGGTGGGGGGCTGAGTGACTCATGGGGGGGATCCTCTTGCACCCATGTGCCACGGGGACATTAGTGTCACCTCCCTGGGTGGGTGGCAGGGAGGTGCCGTGACTCCAGTGTCCCCTGGGGGCCCTGCTCTGCTTTTGGGGGGGGGGGGGGGACGGGGGATGGGTCCCGGTGCTTGTCCCACCCCCCCCGCTGTAGGAGCGATTTGTGATTTTGCCATCTCTCCCCTCACAGTGCGTCTTCGATGACCTTAGTGGCTCCGTGTCACTCTCCTGGGTGGGCGACAGCACCGGGGTAAGTACCGTGGGGGTGCTGGGGGGTGCATCCCCCCCCCCCCCGATGCGGCTGTGGCTCCGTTTTTAAGGGGGGGACAGGACAGCAGTGACCCCCTCCTGTGCCTGAGGGGCTGTGGGACCTGAAGCAGGGACTGGGATGGAGGGAGGGGGATGCCCGGGGAGGGGACAGCCCTTCTTCGTGGGGGGGGGTCACACACAGGGGGGAGCCCACAGCCCCGGGGGGGGGGGGGGGGGGATGCCGGAGCTCTGGGTGTGACCCTGCCTGTCCGCCTCTCCCCGCCCAGGTCATCCTGGTCCTGACGACGTTCCAGGTGCCGCTGGTGATCATGAGCTTCGGGCAATCCAAGCTCTACCGCAGGTGAGCCCCCCCGGCCCCACCTTGGGACCCCCCCCCCCACCCCGGGTAGGGGGGTGGGGGGGGGCGGGTGGGCTGAGAGCAGCCCCCGAGTCCCTGCGCTGGCTCACGGCCGTGCCGATTCCTCCCTTCCAGCGAGGACTACGGGAAAACCTTCAAGGACATCACCAGCCTCATCAACAACACCTTCATCCGGACCGAGTTCGGCATGGCTATCGGCCCGGAGAACTCGGGAAAGGTGGGAGGGGGCGGCGTGCTGGGATGCTGGCGAGCCAGGACCCCCCCCCGCCCCGCGCCCAGCAGCCCCTCACTCCAGGCTGGACGGGTCCCGGTGGTTTTTCTTCTGGAGCCCCCGGCGCAGCTGAGCCCCCCCCCCACCCCTTCCCTGCACCCAGGTCATCCTGACGGGCGACGTCTCCGGCGGCAGCCGCGGGGGCAGGATCTTCCGCTCGTCCGATTTTGCCAAGAATTTCATCCAGACGGATTTGCCCTTCCACCCCCTGGTGCAGATCACCTACCACCCCCAAAACTCGGACTGCCTGCTGGCCCTCAGCACCGAGGTGAGGGCCGGGGAGCCAGGATGAGACCCTGGCTGGGGATGGCCAAGGCTCCTGGGGCTGCTTCCCCAGGGATCAGCCGGATCGTGGCCACGTGTCCTGGGCTGCCTCCTGTGGCCCCAAGATGGGGGGGGGAGTGGAAACACAAGGTTGGGGACGGTGGGGGGGGCTGTTAGGGGTGGGGGGTTGGTTATAACCAACCTCTTGGCTCTTGCAGAATGGTCTCTGGGTCTCCAGGGATTTCGGGGAGAAGTGGGAGGAGATCCACAAAGCCGTCTGCCTGGCCAAGTGGTGAGTGGCTGCCCGCTTTTTGGCAGGGGGGGGGAAATCATTGGCGGGGGGGTGGGGGGGTGCTGATTGCAGCTTGAGGAGTCTGCGTGACACCCACCCACCCAAACCCCGCGGGGGGACGGGATGAATCTGCAGGCGGTGGCATCCTGGGCCACCGCGTCCCACCTGCTTTTGGGTGTCCCCCCCCCTCTCCCCTTCTCCTCCCCAGGGGTGCGAACGACACCATCTTCTTCACCACCTACCTGAACAACTCCTGCAGTAAGTACTTCTTGATCTCCAGTCATGTCCCTGGGGTCCCTGGCACTTTAGGGGCTCTGTGAAGGGGTGAAGCCCCCTCCCAGCAGACCCCCCCAGCAGAGAGCATGGTGGTCCCGGAATAGATTGGATGAGCTGGGAATACCCAGAGCTGGAACACTGGAGGGGGACATACTGGGACGTTGTGGGGGGGACACGGCTCTGTTGACAGCTGATGAAGCTGGAGGCAGCTCCGGGCTCGTTAATCCACCGTCCCTTCTTCTTAAGAAGCTGATCTGGGGTTACTGGAGCTAAAGAAAACCTCCGACTTCGGCAAAGCCTTCAAGGTCATCGGCACCAAGATTTATTCCTTCGGGCTGGGAGGTCGCTTTCTTTTCGCCTCCGTGATGACAGAGAAGGTCCTTGTCCCCCTTCCTGGCGCTGCTGGAGAGCGGGCAGCGGTGGCTCGTCCCTGCCTGCAGCTCTCCCCGGCGTCCCCTTCCTCTCCCTGCGAGGAGGATGAAGGATGACGATGCTTTGGTTCCCCAGGGTACCACGAGGCGCATTCATGTCTCCCTCGACCAAGGCGAGACCTGGAACATGGCCCAGCTCCCCTCCGTTGGGCACGAGCAATTTTACTCCATCCTGGCCGCTAACGACGACCTGGTGTTCATGCACGTGGACGAGCCGGGCGGTGAGTGGGGACAGGGACACATCCCGGGGCTGGGGACACAACTGGAAACCTCTCTGCAGCAAGCAAGCCAGCTCCTCACCTGAGCACGGGGCTCTCCACCCACCAGGAGCTCTGGTGTGCCTTCTCTCATTAAGGCATCGCTAATTAGCAGGCTGCTTGCTCCGGTTTGCAGCGCGCAGGGACCGTGACCGCGCTGGGTCCCTTTTGCAGCACTCAGGGGTGTCTCCGAGACACCCCGGGGGGGTTTGCTGCTGCTGGTGCCAGTCTGTGGTGCCCCGCCCCGGACCCCTCCCTCACTGCTGTCCCCGTGTCCCTCTTGCAGACACGGGTTTTGGCACCATCTACACCTCCGACGACCGCGGGATCGTCTACTCCAAGTCCTTGGAGCGGCACCTCTACACCACCACCGGCGGGGAGACCGACTTCACCAACGTCACCTCGCTGCGGGGCATCTACATCACCAGCGTCCTCTCCGAAGGTGGGCGGCCGCGTCTCCCCGTCTGTCCCCCCGGCCCCGAAACTGGGGTTGTGCCTCCCTAGGGATGGGAGCTGGGAGCTGGGGTTGCTGGAGGGGAGTGTGACCCCCGTGGGGGGTGGCGGTGAGGATGTGCTGGGCATCCTCCTGACCCCATCGGCCTCTCCCTCCTCCTCCTCCCACCAGACAACTCCATCCAGTCTGTGATCACTTTTGACCGTGGCGGGGAGTGGGTGCCGCTGCGGAAACCCAAAAACACCACCTGTGACTCCACGGCCAGGAGCAAGGAAGAGGTGGGTCTGGCCCTGGATACCCCCTGGGTATCCTCCGCCTTCCCTCCGCCAAGGGGATGCCGGGGAGCGAGCGAACCCACCCTGCAGCTCCCACCAGAGATGCTGAGGGTGTGGGGCCAGCCGTGCGTGGGCCGGGGGTCGCACCGTGGGGCAAGCCCTGAGCAGGGTGGGGGGTCCAGCACCCGCCGGGTGTTACCGGGTGAATCTTCCCGTGCCCCGTCCCCGCGGGCTCCTGGACGGGCTTTCCTCTTGCTCTTGCAGTGCAGCCTCCACATCCACGCGTCCTACAGCATCTCCCAGAAGCTGAACGTCCCCATGGCTCCCCTCTCCGAGCCCAACGCCGTCGGCATCGTCATCGCCCACGGTACCGAGCCTCGCCGGGGCGGGTGGCGGGGACACAGAGCCCCGTAGTCACACACCCGTGTGCGTATCTGTCCCCCCAATCACGCTGTGCCCCCCCCCCCCCCCCCCCTCCTCGCCCAGGGAGCGTCGGGGGGGCCATCTCGGTGATGAGCCCCGACGTCTACATCTCGGACGACGGGGGCTACACCTGGGCGCGGATGCTGGAGGGGCCGCACCATTACGCCATCCTGGACTCGGGCGGCCTCATCGTCGCCATCGAGCACACCAGCCAGCCCGTCAACGTCATCGAGTACGCGCCGGCTGCCCTTGTTGGGGAGGGGAAGGGGCTTGCTGGTTTTATTTTTGGGGGGGGGGGGGGCTCCCCAAGCTGCGGGAGGTGCCTCCCGGACCGCCTGGGTGCTGAGTGACCCCCTTGCACGCCAGGTTCTCAACAGACGAAGGGCAGTGCTGGTATCAATACACTTTCTCCAAGGATCCCATCTTCTTCACCGGCCTGGCGTCCGAGCCGGGGGCTCGCTCCATGAACGTCAGCATCTGGGGCTTCCGGGGGAGCTTCCTCTCCCGCAAGTGGGTCTCCTACACCATCGACTTCAGCGAGCTGCTCAGCAGGACCTGTGAGAGCTTGCGGGGGGGGCTGGGGACAAGCGGGGCTGGGGACAGCCAGGGCTGGGCTGGGGGATGCTCTTGCCCCCCAGGGGAGCGCGGCCCTCGGTTCCCCCGCCCGCGGGGACGGGGTGAGCGGTCGGGGTTTGGTTTCCCCCCGTGGCTCGCGCCAGGCTGGGTCCCCACCAAGCTGCCATCCCCTGGGGACCCCTCCTCAGCCGCGGCGCTGAGCCCTCTCCCTCGCAGGCGAGGACGAGGACTACACCATCTGGCTGGCGCACTCCAGCAATCCCAGCGACCCCGCTGACGGCTGCATACTGGGCTACAAGGAGCAATACCGACGGCTCCGCAAGTCCTCGGTGTGCCAGAACGGCCGGGACTACATGGTGACCAAGCAGCCGTCCGTCTGTCCCTGCACGCTGGAGGATTTCCTCTGGTACCCTCCCTTTTCGCATCTCCCACCTTCTGTCCCCATTTCAGGCGGCACCTTCCTTTAGCCCGGCTCCTGACGGGTCCCCGAGCAGGGTTTCATCTCCTTTTCCTCTTCTCCCCGCAGCGATTTTGGTTACTACCGCCCGGAGAACCAGTCTGTCTGCGTGGAGCAGCCGGAGCTGAAGGGACACGACCTGGAATTCTGCCTCTACGGCAGACGGGAGCTGCTCAAGACCAGCGGGTAAAGCTTGGCCGACGTCGATGCTGGGGGGAGGAGCAGGGTGGAACCCCCCCCCCAAAATCCCCAGGGAATCCTTCACCCTGCACCCGGCGGGGACAGATCCTGCCCCATCGCCTTGGATCGGGGCTGACGGTCCCTGGGAAGCGGCCGCTGGAGCTGGGGTTGGGGGGGGGGGGGGGGGGGTGTGTGTGTCACCAGGCATCACCTCCCCGTCTCCAGGTATCGGAAAATCCCCGGGGACAAGTGTTCGGGAGGGGACAGCCCGAGCCGGGAGGAGACGGACATGAAGAAGAAATGCACCAGCAACTTCCTCAACCCCAGCCAGCTGGTGGGTGACGGTGACACTGCCCGGGAGCGGTGACAGCGCTGGGCATCGGGCCATCGCGCCCGTGGAGCCAATAAATTGGTGGTGGGCAGGAACCGGGGCCTCCTGCCTGCCTGAATCCTGGCTGGGTGCTTGCAGGGGTGGCGTGGCTTTTATCCCCTGGGATAAACCGGGGTGCTGGTTGTGTTTTGGGGAGGGGGGGGGGGACGGACGGACGGATGACACACACGTTAGTTCCCCTCCCAGCTGTGGAGCCTTCCTCCTCTCCCCGCAGGCAGCATCCACCAGCTCCACCCCCATCATCCTGGCCGTGGTGGCCGTGCTGCTCGTCACCGTCGTGGCCGGAGTCCTCCTCATCAAGAAATACGTCTGCGGGGGCAGGTGAGGATGTCTGGCGGCTCCCCCCAGGGTGTGTGTGCCCCCCCCCCCCCCCCCCCCCCCAGATCTCTCAGCGAACCGCCCTCCCTGGTGCTGGGGAGGGAGCGGAGCACCCACGCGCCCTGCTCTGGGCAGGATGAGCGTGTGTGTGTGTGTGTGTCCCCCACCCGGGGTGGGGGGGTTGTTTGTGGAGGTACAGGCAGTGTGGTCACACGTGTGTGTGTGTGTGTGTGTCCCCCTCCCCAATCTGCTCCTGCCAGGTTCCTGGTCCATCGCTACTCCGTCCTCCGGCAGCACGCGGAGGCCAACGGGGTGGAGGGGATGGACGCGCTGGACCCCGGCACCCCGGCCGGCAAAAGCAGCTACCACGATGACTCCGACGAGGTGAGGGGGGGGGGGGGGGGCCCGGGGTGTGTGTTGTGTGTCTCCCCCCCCCACCCCAAGACCTCCGCTGGGCCGGGTGGGTGACGGGGACACGGGTGGGTGACGGTCCCGTCTCTCCCCAGGACCTCCTGGAGTAGCGACGCCGGGGACGTGGCCGCGCTGCCCCCACCCTCCGCTGCGCAGGCAGGGCCCCCCCGCACCCCCCCCCTGCCCGCTCTGCCCGGGGGGGGGCGCACACACAGGGGTTTAATTTAATATTTCCTTCCAGCCCCGGTGGGGGGAGGCTTTTATGGTCTTTTATTTTTCCCTTTTCTGGGCTGTTTTATTTTAAGGACGACTGAATAGGAACTGCTGTCCCCCGTGGGGAGCAGCTCCCCCCCCTGACCCCCCCCCTAAGGGCAGTGTCGTCCCCGGGGTGCTGGGGACGAGCCCTGAGGTGTATCCGCTGCCGGGGGGGGGGGGCTTGGTAGGGGGGTCACAGCCAGGCTTGCCTGCAGCTCCCGGCCCTGCTGCCTGTTTCTTCTCCAAAGCAATACGAGCCGGGCTGCCAGGGCCCCCCCGTGCCCCCCCAGCTTGAGTGGGGGGGGTCCCTATGGCTGTGGGTAATGGCTCAGCTCTCCCCTCCTGCCCCCCCCCCCCATCCAACCCCCCCCCCGGGCTGGCCTTGGCCGAGGGAAACGCAGCAATAATGAATTAAAGCTTGAAGTTCTTTACCAAGGGGCTGCGGGGGGGGGGGGGGTGGCTCAGCCCCAGACCCCCCCCCCCCGGCCCCTCCCCTGCTTGCACCCTGCCAGGTTCTGGTCCCAGCACTGTTACAGTCTCCTTACACTGGAAATCCCCTTTTTTTTGGGGGGGAGGGGGAACATGGATACAACAGCCCCCCACCTCCCAGCCAGGGTGCGGGGGGGTTTTTTTGTGACACCCCCCCCCGCTGGGATGCAGGGGCTTTGCCTGACACACACCCCCCCCCCCTCAAACTGGGGCACAGGGTGCATTGGGATGGGGGGGTGCACTAGGAGGAGGGGGTACAGACCATCCCGGCCCCCCCCCTGCCCCCCCCCCCGCCCCTCAACCCCTCACGACCCACCACGGCTAATCGCGATACGGCCGTGCTGTCGTGACACGTGGCTTCCGCTCTCGCCCCAGGGATTGGGCAAAGCCTGCTGCCCCCCCCGCCCCCCCCCCGGCATGGCACGACCGCCGGTGGGATGAAGGGGGGGGGGGGGGGGGGCCCAGCACCTCTTGCATGTGCTTCAGCGTGGGGACAGAGCGTAACCCCCTAACGAAAAGCCATAGCCCTGTGCCCCCCCCCCGGCCCCCCCCCCCGGCCTGGCTGGGGACGGGAGGTGGGGGGGGGACGGACACACCAAGGCCAGTGCAGAGTCCTGTAAATAAACCTGGATGTGTTATAACTTTGTACTGGTATTTTTCTGTATATTTGCAATATTTGGGTTATTAGAAATAAAGCCAAAACAGACCCTGTGTGCCCTTCTGTGTCGGGGGGGGGGGGGGGGGGGAGGGACGGGGGGGACAGGGATGGAGGGGGGGGTCACCCCTTGCAGGGGTAGTGCTGGAGGGGCCCCGGGGGCGGCGGTAATTAAAAAGACTATAATTTATTCTGGTTTAAGGCAACTCAATACAAACCCACAGCAGACGCACACGTGACAGTGGGGGGGCGGGGGGGGGCACGGAGAGGGACCGTCCATGCAAGTAGAAAAGTGAAGGGACACACACACACACACACACACAAAAAAGGATCTGGGACCTCCCCCCCCCCCCCCCCCGCCCCCCGGAGCAGCTGGCACTCGCTGCAGGAGGATGGGGGAGCTTATGGGTCTGGGGGGGCCGTGGGGGGGGTGAGGGGGGTGGGGCATGCGTCACTCCTGGGGGCTGGGGATGCTCTGAATGTCACCAGGGCCACCGGAGGGGACCCCACGCTCTGGGGGGGGGGGTGGGTGTGTTTGAAAAGGGCAGGTGGGGGCAGGGGGGCTCCTGCCCACCCTGGGTCTGTGCTCAAAAATTTTGGGGGGGGGGGGGGGGGGCGGGGCTGAGGACCACCCTGCTCCTTTTTTTAGGGGGCAGGATACGGCCCTTGGCACCAGTCTGGGGTGTGCCAGGATGGGGACAAGCCACTTCGGGGGGGGGGGGGGGGGGGGGGGGCTGCCACAGCTAACACCAGCAAAGGTCCCTCCACTTCCCCCCCCCCCCCCCCCAGGAACCCCAGAAAAGGTGTTTTATGGGGGTTGGGGGGGGGAGCCCCCCCAGGGCCCTGGCAGGATCCTACTGTCTTTTATCCCTTGAAAAAGGAAAGGGGGGGGGGGAGGGAAGGTGAGTGGGGCTTGGAAAACATCCAAGCCTGGGGGGTTGCGGTGGGGGGGATGTGGGGTGCCAGGCGAGGGGGTGGTCAGGGCTGGGGGGGCAGCGGGGGGTCGGGGGGGTCGGGGCTGGGGGGTGCTGGCTGGGGTTTGATGCCCCGCGCCTTCATGTAGGAGATGAACTGGTCGGGGATCTCGGCCAGGACGTCCTTGGCCAGTCGCGCCATGCTCAGCACTGGGCTGCCCCCCCCGTCCATGTAGTCACGGAAGGGGACGAACTGGGGGGGACACACACACACACACGATCTGGGGGGGGTCCCAGGGTCTGCTCTTGGCCCAGTGTGTCCCCCCCTCACTGCAGCCCCAACGTCCCAGTTTCCCCATCCCGCCCTGTCCCGGTGTGTCCCCAAATCCCCGTCCACCCCCCCATCCCAGTGCACCCCCACATCCAGGTACATCCCAAGCGCCAGTGCCCCCCTTTTTTTTTTCCACTGCAGCCCCCCCCCCCATCCCAGCACACCTCCTCCATGTCCCAATGCCTCCCCCAAAATGTCCTAGTGCGTCCCCTCAGTGGCCCAGTGCCCTCCCATTTCCCAGTACATGCCCCATGATGTCCCAGTGCCCCCCCCCCCGTCCTGGTGCACGCCCCCCCCCGCTCCCCATGTCCCGGCACACCCCTGTGTCCCAGTTCCCCCCCCCAAATCCTGCTACAGCCCCCAACACCCAGTCCATCTCGTCGTCCCTCCACGCTGGGTTCAGGCAGTGGCCCCCAGGAGCAACGGGGCCGATTTGGGGTGCCCGGGGCACCCCACCATGCCGGGCCAGGGGAGGGGGGGAGAGGGGGGGGGTTCCCAATCCCCACATCACGGTGGTGGTGGTGGGGGGGGGGGGCGTTGGTACCTGCACGATGTCACGCTCGGCTACTTTGCCGCGGGAGGAGATGCGGATGTCATCACCGTCCAGCTCCACCATGGCTGTGGGGGGGTGGGGGGAGCCCGACGGGGGGGTGAGCAGCATCCAAATCACCCCCCCACCACAGGGTGGGACCCCTTTAATCCCCGCTCCTCCCCCCCCCCCCCCAGCCCCGGCAGCTGCAGGCAGGGGAGCGGGGCTGATTCATCAGTGGCAATTACTGGGGGAGTTTTAATTTGGCTTCGCTGCCTGCTGGGTGGCAGAGCAGCCGGCTGCTGGTGAGGGGGGGGGGGGGGGGGGCGCTGCCTATGTGTCCGTCCCCCCACCCCCAACACACCCCGGGGGGGGGCTCATTCAGCCCTAACGAACGGCAGTGCTCATAACCACCCGCACACGCTGGCTTGCGGCAAATCCCGATGAGCCCCAACAAATTCAACTCATATTTCCCTGGTAGCCACAGGCAGCTGCAGCCCCCACCCCGACCACGCACCATTCCCCCCCCCCACCTCCCCCCCCGGGGGTGCTGAGCCTGGATGGGATGGGGGTAGCCACAGCCTTACCATCGAACTCAGCCTGGCCGACCCCCACGATGATGATGGACATGGGGAGCTTGGCAGCCTGGGCGGGGGGGGGCGGGGGGAGGAAAAAAAAAAAAAAAAAAAAGGAAAAAAGGCACCAAATGTAATGGTCTTGCAGCCCCCTCCCACCCTACCATTAACCCCCCCAGCACCCCGGGGTTCAACGCCTTTGCCCTGGGAGGGGAATAGGATGACACCCCTTGGGCTGCTGCCTGCTGCCCCCCTGCATGGGAGGGGGGGGCTGATGCGGGGGGGGGGGGGGGCACAGATCACCCCACCACTTTGCCTGCTCCGTTTCGGGCCTCATCGCTGCCCCCGCCCGGGGTGGGGATGGGCACCCCACGTTTTGGGCACCCTGCACCTGGGATGGGCAATCCTGTGCTCGGTGGCACCGTGACCACCCCCCCCCAGCCCCCCCTCCCCAAGCCCCCCCCCCCCCCCAGCCCCTCGGCACAGCACGGTGCTCCCAGAGCAGCACCAGCCTCCAGAACCAACCCCAAAGGGCACCCCCGGCCCTTAAATAAAACAGAAAACCATTATTACCAGTGCTGCTCTCCCTCCTGCACCCCCCCCCCGGGAGCTCCCCCCATGCATCGGGGGGGGGGGGGGCACCACCACTCCCACTGCTCCCCCTCCCAGCATCCCTGCTCAGCGCCAGCATCCCCAACCTTCCTGCTGCCTCCGGTATGGGGGAGCGGAGATGGGGCTGAGCTGCTGCAAAAGGGAGACTGAGAGATGGAGGAGGAGGAGGAGGAGGAAGAATAAAGCTCCCAGCTCGCCCAGGGTGCTGGGCTGAGTGTGGGGGGGGGACTCGGTGGGCAGGTTTGGGGGCAAAGGTGTTGCTGGCGCCTGCCAAGATTCTGAAATTGCTTTTTCTTTTGCAGACCCCGCGTGGGGAGGGGGCAGGAGCCGGTATCTCGGGGCACCCTGTGCACCCAGCCGGTTGTTAACACCCACCGTGGGGTACCCCGTGCCGGTGGTTGCACCCACACACCTCGCTGCACCCCGGCAGGGGCACCCCAAGCTCTGGATGGTTGGGGCCCCCTGAAATCTCGGGGGGGGGGGTTCCCCAGCCAGTTCCTGCACCCACACAGCTCTCAGCACCCCGTCCACCCAGCCGGTTGGTGCACCCACCGTGGGGTACCCCGTGCCGGTGGTTGCACCCACACACCTCGCTGCACCCCGGCAGGGGCACCCCAAGCTCTGGCTGGTTGGGGCCCCCTGAAATCTCGGGGGGGGGGGGGGGGGGGCTCCCCAGCCGGTTCCTGCACCCACACAGCTCTCAGCACCCCGTGCACCCAGCCGGTTGGTGCACCCACCGTGGGGTACCCCGTGCCGGTGGTTGCACACACACATCTCTCAGCACCCCGTGCACCCTGATGGTCGGTGCACCCCAACCCCGGCTGGCCCCGGGACACCCCGTCTTGCGGGACTCACGTTGACGATGGCCTCCTTGGTCTGCGCCATGTCCGAGATGACGCCGTCGGTGATGATGAGCAGCACGAAGTACTGGGACCCATCCAGCACTGCCGCCGCTGAGCTATTGGGGGGGGGGGGGGACACCCCCCATGAGGGACCCCGGGGTGGGAAAAAAAACCCCGGGGGTGGGGGTGGGGGGTGCTGGGACCCCCTTACCGGGCGACGTGGTTGACCACGGGGGCGAAATTGGTGGGTCCGTAGAGCTGGACGCTGCGCAGGCTGCGGTGATACGCCTCCAGGACGCCCTCGATGCCGCTGCACGCCGGGTTGGCCGCGTCACCGTTCTGCGGGGCGGCAAACGGCGGTGACCAGGGCGAGGCCACCCCGTTCCATCCCCCCCCTCCAACCAAACCCCGGGGTGGGGGGGGGGGGGGGCCCGCCGCGTCCCTTGGGACGGACCCCCCCCCTCACCAGCGGGAACTCGTGGGACACGTGTCCGTCCGGCGGGATCTTGGCGCCGAAGCCGAGGGCCGGGAACATCTTGTCGCTGTCGTAGTCCTGGATGATCTCGCCCACCGCCTTGAGGGCCATGGTGTAGGCGTTGAGCTGGTAGGGGCTCAGGTAGTGCAGCGAGGTGGACTGCGAGGGGTTCCCTGCGTGGGCGGGGGGCTCAGCCAGGCCGGGTGTGTGTGTCCCCCCCAGTGGTTTAATGAGCCCCTGACCCCCCTCTCCTCATTAAATAGCGCCCAAGGGCAGGGGACACACACACACACAGCCCCGCGCTCACCGTTGGATGCGGTGAAGTCGATGGCCACCGTGAAGTTGATTTGGGTCCTGGAGTTGGGGGCCGGGGCAGAAAAAGCGGGTTTAGGGGTCTGGGGTGAGGCAGGATGCGACCCGTGGGGATGGGGAGGGGTGGGGATGACGGGGATGGACACAGGCCCCTCTCCCCAAGGCCAGCCCACCCCTCCCCGGGCGCTCGCCAAATTCAGAGCACCCCCAAATCTCCTTGTGCTGAGGTTTCACCCCCCTCCCCTGCACCCAAAGGTGCAGCTGTGGGTGCTGGGGACACCCTGCCCAGGACACCGCTGGCTCCAGTGCAGCCCCCAGGATACAGTTGGGGAAACTGAGGCACGTCGTGTGTGTACCCCCCCAACTCTCCCCCCACCTCGCTCACCCGCCCCTGATGTAGTCCAGGAAGGTGTGGTCAGACTCCACCGCGAAGGACAGCAGTGTCACCTGCCAGGGACAAGGGGCTGAGTTGGGGGGACAGTGGCTGCACCCCCCCCCATGCCCCCTCCCCATGTGTGTCCCCCCCTCCATCCTCACCGTCCCCGAATTCAGGTACTTCTTCTTCTTCATCTTCTTCCTGGGGTTCACCACCTGAGGGGGTGGGGGGTGGGCAGGGAGGGGAGCTGCTCCCCACAGGAGCCGCAGCACCCCAGGGTGCGGGGGGGGGGGGGCACCACGGGGACTGTAACCCCCCCGGGGTGCAGCGCAGGGGGGCTGTGGCACTTGGGGGGTGCAGCCCAGGCACCCCTGGGTGCAGCACGGGGACCATAAAGCCCAGGGGTGCAGCACAGGGACCGTGACACCCACGGGTGCAGCACCCTGGGGACTGTAACACCCATGGGTGCAGCTGGACACCCCACCCCCCCCTCCCTCCCCCCACCCCCATGGGTCCCCGTCCCCGCTCTTCAGCCTCACCTCGTAGACGTTGAACTGGCTCTGTCCCCGTGCCAGCTCCCGGTAGCTGGTGGTGAACTCCCCGATGAAGTCATGGCTGCGGGGCGAGGCGGGGGGGGTGTGTGACACCGTCAGCTGGGGAGGGGGTCCGGGGGTGGGGGGGGATCCCCCCAGGGCTCACCTGCCATCGCGGTCCCAGTCATACACCTCCACCTTGATGGCTCTGCAAGGCAAAGGGGGGGGTGGTGGTGTTCAGAACCACCTCCCGGCACCCCCAAAACCCCAGACCCCCCACCCCGGGGGGCTGTGATGGGTCCCTGGGGCCGCCCCCGGCGCCTGCTCCCCGTGGGTTTGTTTTGACGCCTCCGTGGGCCTTTTCCTCCTCCTTCCTCCTCCTCAGGCTTTTTCGGTGGGATATTTTTATCCACCGTTGCCACAGCAACGTCCGACACGGGGCCAAGCCAGCGGCGCGACGCCGCTGAGCTTTGTTCACCAGGACACGCAGGCGGTGACTCCGGTTTTGGAAGGGGGATAATAGCTCTGTGATGGCGATGGAGCCCATTGCCCAGATGGGTAAACCGAGGCAGGCAGCGTGGGGGAAGGAGGGGGGGGGGGCGGGGAGTGGGCTGCTTGGAGGGCTTGGGTATCAGCGTAGGTACCACAGAGACTGCGGGAAGAGGGAGCAGAGCGGCCGCCCTCGCCTGCCGCGGAGGACCCGGCGCTCACCGGTCGTAGTCGCCGTTGCAGAGGGCGCGCACCGGGATGGCGAACGCCTGCCACACCGGGTTCAGCGTGTTCCGCACCACCTCCGTCTTGTGGCAGATGGTGAAGCTGGGGGGGGGGGGGGGGGGACAGACACACGGACACACACACACACGGGGGTCACCCCCTGATGGAAAAACCCCCCCCACCCCATCACCCCACGGGTGATTTTTGGAGACACCCCCCCCCCCAATTAAAGCCAGCCCAGCCCCATCAGCGGTCCCTGAGGTGGCCCACGCCGGGGGCTGTGTCCTCCTGCCCTGATGCAGGGGGGGTGTCACTGCGTTTTGGGGGGGGGGGGGGGGGGCGCAGGGGGGGACGGGGAGGGTGCCACTCACGTCCCGTCCTCGTTGCTGCGGTAGAAGACCATGAAGGGGTCGGATTTCCCGAAGAAATCCTTCTTGTCCAGCTTGTTGGCGCAGAACTGCAGCGTGGCCACGTCCTGCGGTGAGGACGGGGGGGGGGGGGTCACCCACCCGCACCCCCCTGGGGACATCGCGGGGGGGGGGTGGGGGGTGGGGGGGGGGCAGGTTCCTGCGTGGGTGCTGCTCAGTGTGGGGCTGAGGGGACCCAAGACCCATGGGACACACTATGGGGACAGCCGTGACCCTCATCCTCCTCACCCTAGAGTGAGGAAGGCCCCGGGGGGGGGGGGGGTCGCAGCCCCCCAACATCGTGTCCCCAAATTGTGTGTGTCCCCCCCCCCCCAGAGCCATGGCTCACCCGGCAGTTGCCCAGCTCTTCAGCGAGGAGGATGATGGTGCCGCACTTCTTCCCGGGGATGCCGCTGCCAGGAGGGACCGTGAGCCAGGGGTGGAGGCGGGGTGGGGGACACACACACACGGTGACCTGGGGGGGGGTGTCTGTGTCCCCCCCGTCCATCCCCCCCCAGGGCTGGGCACCCCAAAACTCACCCATTGGAGACAGCTGGAGCGGGTCTCCTGCCCCGAGCGTGCGTGGTGACCGTCCCCATCCTGCTGGGACACAGACCAAGGGGTGATGGAGGGGACACCTGACACCCCCCCCCCCCCCAAAAAAGAAAACAGAGCCCCCCCATGGGGAAACTGAGGCAGGGTAGGGGAGACGGGGAGCCCGGGGCAGCCCGGAGCCAGGGCTGTCGGCACCGGGGTCTGGTCTCCATCCTGGACACCCGGATAAGGACCCAGGCGCCTGCCAGCACTGGGGGGGGGGGGGGACATGGGGACACCGGGCAGCCAGCCCAGCACAGGGCCCCCCCCCCACCCCCCCCAGGGGGGGGAAACCGAGGCACGGGGGCTCACGTCAGGGGCTTCTCCAGGCGGCTGCCGGCCGAGCCCACGATCTCCCCCAGGGTGCAGAAAGCCTGGCCGAGGAAATCCTGCGGAGCCGCGGTGTCACCGGGGTCTGTCCCTGTCCCCGTCCCCAGCCCCAGGGGTGGTGGGGGACGGGGGGGGCGTGGGGGGGGGCGCAGATACAACGGTGCCGGCCCCGCACTTACGTGCTTGGAGAGGTCGGGGCTTTTGGAGTCCACATCGTACCTGGGGACAGAGCAGGGGACCCGTGGCCGGGGCAGTGGGGATGATGGGGTGGCCTTGGGGACAAGGGCGGTGATGGCACGGGAATGGGGATGAGGACAGGGAGGGGGACAAGGACAGGGGCTGGGTAGTGACAAGGACGCTCCTGGGACAGGCGCCAGCACCCGCCTGGCACCCCCCAGGCACGGCTGGGCCACCGCACCCAGCCCCGCAGCGGGGGGGGGACCGCGGTGCAGGGGG